TGCAGCCCCGCGCATGTGGGGTGTTTGCTGCAGGTTGCGATTTCACAGAGGGAAGATTTTGTTTTCCATTCCATGCAGCATTGCAGCGGATCAGAGCGGAGTTACCACTTGCTGCCCGCTTCAACCACGCAGTCTCTTCTGTTGCTGTCTTTCCATTCTCTCGCGGTCCTTCTGCTCCCTCTGAAACAAGGGCTTTGCCAGAAGAGCAGCACCCGGCACCCGTATTCTCCTTGGCCCAGACGCTGCTCGGGGCCTTTCTGCAGAAAGCTCCCCCAGGGTTAAATTTTCCTCGCGCTGCAGTTTCTTGGTGAGGTGCAGGAGAGGGGCTTGGGTTGCTGCCGTGATGCCCTAGCAGAACAACGAGACGTAGCCGCTGGGGCTCGGTAGAGAAGGGCTGCACGGAGGAGCAGAGCAGTGACCGGCGCTGGCTCCTTGCAGCAGCAGCAGCAGCGTTGGCGAGAGGCGCCCAGCGCGCCGGTCCTGCGCGCAGGTATCGGGAAGGCACCTGGACGGTGCAAGGAGGCCGGGCCGGAGCCCCGCGCAGTGCCGGTCCTGGAGCTCCCCCGTCGGCAGCGCGCCGGGAAGTGCAGGGCGCTGCCGGGCAGAGCGCAGCAAGGCCGGGGCCGCACGGGGAGGCCTGGAGCCCTCCTCGTGCCCTGGGAACGCTCAGAGGGGTCGGGAATGCCCCAGCCCTGGCATTGCCCCCACGGAGGGGCAGTACCCGCAGGGCTCGGCGCGAGCGGCAGGTCCTGACAGGCGCCTCGGATGGAGCGCGTACCGGGTGGTTTTGCACGTCCTTGTTCTGTCGTTTGGGGCACTTAAAGTGTCACTGAGATTTCAGCGCCCTAAACGCTCGTCTGTCAGCGCGTTGCTCCGGTTGAAGGGTGTCAGCGGCAGCGGCGGGAGCGGAGCAGCGCGGGAAGGCGGCGGAGCGCGGGCCCCGCTCCTGGTGCGCGCCGGGATGTCGCTGCAGCTGCATGCGCCGCCGGGCCCACGCCCTTCCCAAA